GAGGGGTTTCCTGAGTCCACTGAACCTGGTGGTGGTGGCTGTGTCCTTTCTTTGCTTTTTTAGGAGAGAGAAGGCTGCTGTGACTCTTTGGAAATTTGGGAAGAGGAAATTGGAAGATAAAATAAATAAATGAAATAACCTGGTTACTCTCTACTCCTTCATGAAGGTCTGTTCTAAAGCCACAATACTAAAGAGAGCGCCAGGATATGGAGGTGGGAAGGGGTAGATTAGAAAGGGAGGGAGGTGACAATAGTATTGGGACTGAATAAACCTGAAATTTTGGGAGGAATGGAGAAGAGCACCCACAGACAACAAGTTTATTAACAATCCATGATTCCCTCTAATTCTATTGCTTTATTATATATGGTGTTCAAACTGTGTTTAGAATCCTTTTTTTCTTTTTATAAAATAAGCACATTGTTAAACATATGTAAAATATAAAAAACTACTTAGAATAGATTATAAAAATTCACACCCTCCTCCACTCCTCCCTCCACCCCCGCAACAACGTGCCTTTTCCAGTTAGTAATTAGGGCAGGCAGGAACATTAATTTTTTTTCTCTATCGTCGGGACCCTAATGAGAACTGGGCTGCCCCCTTGCGGTCTCTTCTATGTCACAGCTTCAATCAGCCTACAGTCCCTGAGCCCCGAGCCCCTCCTCTCTCCACTGACTGTATCGTTTCGATACTGCAAGGGGCTGCGAACAGAACTCCGAACTTGTCACCTTCCCTCCTTCAAAGCCTTTCGAATCTTCTTCAGGGGGCAAATGAAGAAACTGAAGCTGGACAAACACATAACCGTGAAGATCAGAGACCTCCCTCACTACGTTCCCTTGCTAGGAATCACAGAATTCAGGGCGCAGAGCCCGAGGAGTTCGGGTAAAAAAGTCAGGAACAAAAGAGTTCGGCTTTGACCTCTAGAGTCGTGGCGGGCTGGCATCTGAGCTGGTAACGTGCACGGCGGGTTATGTAAGGAAAGGACTGGAGGAGCCGCCCCAGCGGGAGCCCGGGAGAGGACGCGGTGTTCTCGGCGGCAGTCCCCACCCTCCTCACCCAGCAGGGCAGGAGCACCCAACTTGTAGGAGAAAGAGGAGGGTACAGTGGAACAGAGACCGGGGAATCACAAGGGCCGGGCCGCCGAGAGCGGGAGAGGATACACAGAGGCACGCATCCATTATCACACACGTAGTAGATGCAAGTCGCTGATGGCTCCACGTGCGGCACTCGTGAGCCTACGCGCTCAAAGAGGGGGCAGAAGGGTCGGCTCCCGACGGGGAGCCAGGAGTCCCAGATGTCGAGGCGCTCGCCTCAGGTCACACAACCAGTCCGCACACTCCAGCCACGCGTTTCCGGCGCACCACCAGCCTATTTAAGGCCACGGGTTCCGCCCTCTTCCTCCCCTCCCTTCTTTTCCACTCTTTTTCCATCCTCCTCCTGTTCTCATCACCGGGTCCTCTCCGCGAGCCGCATGTAGGGGCGGAGCACGGAACGCCGCCTTTCCAGCCAATCCTCACCTGACTGCCTCTCTATTGGCCGAGCCCCTATATGCTGTAGCAAATGGGATATAAAGTTCAGTAACTACAGTCACGTGCCACCGGCTAGAAGACCAATCAGCATGCGAGGTCTGTGTACGCAAGGGGGAAGGCACGTGCGGAGCTGCACGTGTCTGGGAGGGGCAAGGGGCGGGACCCACTGGGAGCTAGGCGGAGGAGGGTAGCTGAGACCCGCAGAGTCTGAGGAGCCGGAGACAGCCTAGGCTGAGCCGATCCGCACAGGTGAGGAGACCCGGGGGGCCGGTAGCTGTCTGCGCGGGAGGATCAGCCCCGGAGAGTGGGTTTAGGGACCTCTTGGTATTGAGAGGGCTAGTATCACGTGGCAGAGCGACCAAAGGGGGTCCGGAGCAGGGAACCTGATCGGAAAGACTAGGAAGAGGCAGGTGTGGGGGGTGTCTCTGTGGGAGGCGGTTCCTGCAGAGTTACTAGGTGGGTTCCGGTGCCGGAGATTTAACGCTCACGGTGGCGCGACCTCAGGTTGAGAGGCTCGCTGCGGAATCAGGCTCGGAACAGATCAGGCGAACAATGGGCCGGACTGGAGAAGGTGTTAAGTCAGGTATTTACTCTGAAGTGAGGGAAGAAAGAACAGAAGTCTGCCAGGCTAAGAGCTGCTCTGCGGAGGCCAGAGAGGCAGTTCGGGTTCTTAATGGAGGTAGAAGAGATGGCATTTTCTGTTGTCTCTGAGACAGGTAATATTGGGGAGGGAGAGAAGAGATATGATTATCCCGTACAGTACACCCTAGTTTCCCAATCCATTTCCTAATTCTCAGATTCCGGTTTCAAACTTCTTCGCTTTCCTCTTCAGTTGCAGGTCCGATCTTTGGTACTCCAGGAGCTGCTCTCCAGCCCCTGCTTCTGAACCTATGGATTCTCCATCTAGCGTTTCTTCCTATTCTTCCTCCTCTCTCCCTTCCTCTTTTTCCACCTCCCCAGTAAACAGTGACTTTGGCTTCCCCTCCGATAGTGAGGGGGAGGACAAGGGGGCCCATGGCCCCAGGCCAGACACTGTTGGGCAGAGGGGAGGTTCTCGGCCCAGCCCCGGTCCTATCCGCCGCAGGCAACGACCCAGGGTTTCCAGTAATCAACATACAGCATCTCACTCGGAACAACGGAGCTTGGCTTCTCCTGTGGCAGGATATGGGGTCAAAAGATCAAGAGATCATGAATTGAAGACCAGTCTAAACATCCGTGGTTGTACCACAGAAGGAGACCTGCTCTTTGCTCAGAAGGTAAGAGAAAGCTGGGGGGGAAAGGCACACTACTGGGATGTCTTAGCATTCTTGCCGGTTGGTAAGGATCCTATGAGGATAGTATTGGCCCCCAGATTTGGAGGTGGAAGAAGAATCAGTACTGGTATAAGCAGTGCTTGTTGTTCTCATAGCCTTTGTTCTGTTTTCCTACAGTGTAAAGAGCTCCAGGGATTCATACGCCCTCTCACAGACTTACTGAATGGGCTGAAGATGGGTCGCTTTGAAAGAGGTTAGTTGCATTCATCTGAGCTAGGTTCATCTCCCCCACCCTCTACCCCCCACCCTTTTTAAAAATATGTTTTAAATGTGTATTTCTCTTAAGTGTGTGTTTGGGTCCTGGATTATTCCTTTTTTTCTTCTGTGACTTAATTTCTTTGGGTGAATTCATTTTAACCCTCTCCTGTCCTTCCTTTGCCTGACTAAATTCTCGAATTTCAATCCTTGATCTCTTCTTACTCCCTGAACCCAGGATTGAGCAGTTTCCAGCAGAGCGTGGCAATGGACAGGATCCAGCGTATCGTAGGTGTTTTGCAGAAGCCACAGATGGGGTAAGTTCTCCCAGTTCTTTCCTCAGTACTTCATTAAAAAAGGAGATATTTTCAGTCCTGTCATGTTACTTTTTCACACTTAATGGTGTGTTTTTTAATATCTTTTTCACAGGGAGCGTTATCTGGGAACCCTACTACAGGTAGAAGGAATGTTAAAGACTTGGTTTCCTCACATAGCTGCCCAGAAGTCATCACTGGGTAGTAGCAGCCACCAGATGACCAAGGTAAGAACTTATAAACCTGAGGAAGAGCTGGGAAAATAACTAAGGAAATGAAATGTGCATTTAGAAATGAGCTCCCTCTTCCATTTCCTTCTGGGTCTTTTTTCCAGTTATTTTTCAGGGAAGGGAAAGATGAAACTTCCTCTACTGTCTTGATTCCTAGATTTTGTTGTTGTTATATCACTGCAAAGAATTCCATGAAATTTAGTCCTACCCCTCATGTGGCAGCTTATCTGCTTTCTGCATAGATACAGAAGGCTTTTTACTCCTGCCCAAGTATCATCGTACTAGAGCCTCTGGAAGCATGGGTTTAATGGACTGGTCGTAAGAAGTAACTCACTGGGAGAGAGGAGGGCCAGCCCTGGGCACTCATGGGGGATTATTGGATAGAGCCTTAGACCTAGTGTGGAAGTGACCTATTTTCTGGGCCTTCAAATAATAGGGTATTTAGGGGCACTCAAATGATAGGGAGGAGAAAGTTTCCTCTAGGTAATAGACAGTCCTTGTTTTCAATCAACCACAGTTATCACTGTGAGAATAATCAATTTAATAAGAAGCCAGGTAGCTCAGTTGGTTAGAGCGTCGTCCTGATACGCCAAGGTTGCAGGTTCAATACCCAATCAGGGCACGTACAAGAATCAACCAATGAATGCATAAATAAGTGGAACAAATGTTTCCTCCCCCCCCTAAAATCAATTTTTAAAAAATTATATAATGACTAAAAATAAGGAGGAAAATAATGAAATCTTAACATTTGCAACAGTATGGATGGACCTAGAGGATATTATGCTAAGTGAAGTCAGTCAGTCAGTGAAAGATAAATACCATAGGATTTCACTTATATATGGAATCTAAAGAATAAAATAAATGAACAAACAAAACAGAAACAGGCTCATAGATACAGGGAACAGACTGATGGTTGCCAGAGGGGAGGGGTTTGGAGAACTGGATGAAAAAGGTGAAGGGATTAAGAGGTACACGTTGGTAGTTATGAAATAGTCACAGGCATATAAAGTATAGAATAGGGAATATAGTCAATAGTATTGTAGTAACTATGTATGGTGCCAGGTGGGTACTGGAAATATGGCGGGTACTGGAAATCATGTACTTGGTAAAGTACATGATTGTTTAACCACTATGCTGTATACCTGAAACTAATGCAAAATAATATTGAATGTAAACGTTAATTGAAAAATAAAAATTTTAAAAATAGGCAAAAGGATTGTGCCTGCATATTAATTTAGACTTCTTAAGGCATTCAACATAGGAAATTAGAATTTAAAATACAGAAATTGGTAAATGATGATTCCAATTAAAAGAAATTTAAAAATATAAGTAGTAAGAACCCATGGGCTATTTTATTTTGTATATGTCTGAATATCCAGTGCCTAATACAGTGTGTGGTACATAGTGGGCCCTCAAATATTTGTTGAATAAATGAAAGTATAATTTGGTTACTAAAACTTTTACTTAATTATGACCTGGCAGGAAATTATCTGTTACATAAAGCAAGGTATTGTTTGCTTTGCAAACAGAGTTCCCAAGGAAAGCAAAGGTTTAAGCAACCAGATAGAGTTAATCTGAAAGTTTTCTCATAATTTCTTTTCTCTTTTCTCCCCCTCCCTAGCATTTTCCAAGCCAACACAATTATCCAGCTGCTTCCTCTCCTGCGCCTCCCATTGAAAAGATGGACCAGACACGGCTAGGACATCTAGTATTGAAACCAAAGCAGACTTGGCATCTCACTGAATGGCCATCTATGAACCTCACATGGATCCACACCACTCCAATTTGCAACCCCCCTCTCAGTTCCCCAGGTTCCATCTCCTTTAGCCCTGGTCCTTTAGGCACTGGAACCAGCATTGGTGTCATCCTTTTCCTCCAACATGGAGAGCAACCCTTCACCCACTCTGCCCCAACCACTCCAGTTCCACCTACTACAGCATCTCCTGTCATCCCTGGTTATCCTAAGAAACTATCTGGAGAGGGACCTCGATGCCACAGTTTGCCAGTAACTCTGCCATCAGACTGGAACTGTACCCTATCCCCTCGTGATCTACCCACCATGGCCAGAGAGATGACCATGGAACACCTAGAGCAGATGAGAAGCCATCCAGTTGCTCCTGATGTCCATCCTCTCAGTCCCTAAGCCAAGACTTGAGACTGTAGTTTCTAATTTATGTAATTTTATGTCTATACATGTGTGTGTGTGTGTGTATCTATTTTACTTTTTGTGTTGAGGGAAGAGAAATCCTTTCTGATTAAAGAAATTTTATACCTAAACAGTTTGCTGATTGGGAGGAAATTGAAACCTTCTGTTTTAAATGCCAATATTTATCCTCTAAGCTGCAGGAAAGAAGAAGGGTGGGAAGGTTTGTGAAGTTGAGTTCCACCAAGTTAGGAGTCTTGATGGGACAATGTAAGTCCTATGGGAGAAGAGGAACTCTGCTGCTGTCTTCCTAGGGAACACCCTTGAGACAGTTATAGGGCTCGGAGTTGGCTTTGTTTTTTTCATTCAGGCTAGTACCTTTCCCTTTGTGTCTTTCCCTCTTGTAATCGTCCAGCTGGCCCAGACTAGCAGGTTCTTCTGCTTTGCAATAGCTCTTTGCCTTGATGGGAGCTGTTGATGCTTGTGGATAAATGCATATGTAATCTGCTGCCAGAGGCGGGACACAAGAGCCAGAACAGGCACTGTGTTTGCCAGTTTTGAAGAGAAGGGGTGCCCTAGAACTGCTATAATGGGGAGTCCCCCAGACACTGGGCCCAATCATTAATCAAAAAGCTGCAACTGCTAAATGTACTGGGGTTGGCAAAAGTAGGTCTACAGTGGCAAGTATGCAAAAGTTTATTCTTGTATTATTTATTATTGTATTATTTACTATGAACAAGTGTCAGCCTACTCTTGCCCACCACTGTATATTGAAATAAGGAAGGCTACCTCCCCAGTGTTATCAGGTAGCAAAAATGAAGTCTCTGTATGGTACTCTTCCTGATTTGTCTCACTTTCCACCAAAATCATATCCTCTCCCATTCTAAGTCTTGGCAGTATATCAGACTACACAGTCATTTTAGTTATTGTTTATTAGCTACTGAGTATGTTCCTCACAGCTAGTTATATATCTTTCCCCTATGTCCCAAGTCCTCTGTTCTCAGTGAATAATTGTCTCCTATTTCAGAGAACAACACCTTTCTAAAGCAAACCTCTCATTTGTGCTTTTGGTTACCTTTCACTTCTGGAACTTTTGCTGTATCATGTCTTTCCTCTTTCTCTTCTAACTTCAATTTGTTATTGAATTATTTATTCTTTATTTCTCCTACAAGTTTTTTTAAAATGTTTTTTTAAAAACTGATTTTAGAGAGAGGGGGAGAGAGAGAGAAACATCGATGAGCTGCCTCCCTCAGGCTCCCCATTGGGGATTGAATCAGTGACCCCTTGGTGCATGGGGTGACGCTCAATCCATTGAGCCATAGCCACTGGGCTCTCCTACAAGTTTGACCAGGTGCCCCCTTCTTGAAAACTTCTCTTGAGCCTGATTCTCCTCTCTCATTTTTTTCTCCATAATTCTTGACAGAGTAGACTAATCATATTCTGACTCCTTCCTACCACTCAGTCCTTAACCTCTTGCAGCCTAGCTTCCACTATCACTCTATTGTACCTTCCCAAGTCCCCATAGAGCTCATAGAATCAGAGTATTACAGTGTAGCTTCCACCCAATCAATAGCTAGATCCAGGGGTACCTTACAAAGGCTATGTACTTCATGCTCTCTGTATTATTTGACACTTGACGCTGCCTTTTGAAACTTCTACCTTGGATCCCATGACAGCACACTAGCCTAATTCTCCTCTTACCTATCTGGCAACAACTTCTATAACTCTTAGTGGCCCCACTTCTGTCCATTCCAGAGTGTGGGTGTTCCCCTAGGCTCACACATTGGCACTTTATTCTCTGACAACATCCTTTCACTTAAAGGTTGCGTCTTCTTTCATGGCTTTAATTCTTGCCTCAATTTTAGAAGACTTCAAAAACTTCATCTCCAGTCACAATTTTTCCCCTGAGATGACATACTGAATGTTGAAATTCCCTCTGGGGAATTCTATTTACATATTACTAACACCTAAAATCTATTAGAAGTTTCAGCATTTTAGAGCCAAGAGGTACCATTTGTATCTGACCCAACCTCTTCATTTTATAGACAATGAAACTTAGGTGTGATTGGTTTATAGTCTTTTCCCAGTGCTTTCCAATCAAAATAATATCTTTCCTTTAAAGGTGTTCTGTTCTGCCTTTTTAGTCTCTTTTTTTCTGTTAGTGCTATCTATTGTACCATTTTTCCAGATAACTAGGCTTAAAACTTGATGTCATTTGGTCACCAAATCTTTTTTATTCTATATTTGGAATATCTCTTAAAATCCATTTCTTCCCATCCATTCCATTGCCACCTCTCTGGTCTATGACTATAGCAATCGTCTTTCTTCGAATCCCTTCTGAGAACCAGATGAATTTTCCTAGAACAGTGCTTTAAGATGAAAGTACAAAACCTTTAATCAAGATCTCTATTTCTCCCTTTGCTCCCCTGTGTAATCCCTCTTATTTGTCCCTAAGCACTGTAAGTCTTTTGCCTCTCAACTCAACATTCATGCTGATCACTTTGCCCAGTTTTTCATGGTTCTGTTAACTAAACCCTACCCTTCTTTCAATAACTAACTCAAGTCCTTCTCCCAATTATTCTCTCCATTAAATATGATATATAGGCTCAGTCTTTGGCCCATAAAATGAGATCATGTACATTAAACAACTAGTACAGGGTTTGGTATATAGTAGGCCCTCAAAAATATTGCTTTTTTTCCTTCCTTTCTTTCAAGGTATTTTTATATTTTATTCCATTTGATTCTCATGACAGATTTTGTATGATTGAGGGCAGATATCAGTCCCATTTTATAAATGAGGAAATAGCCTGGGGAGTTTAAGTCAGAAATCACCAAGAGCCTGGTAGTAAATATTTTAGGCATTGTAGGCCATACGTCTCTATCCAACTATCCAACTCTGCCATTGTAGCCCAAAGCAGCCGTACCTGATATATAAACAAATGAGCACAGCTGTGTTCCAATAAAGGTTTATTTACAAAAACAGAGATGGAGTTGGATTTGACCTGTAGGCAGTAGCTTGCAGACTACTGGTTTACATGTTTTGTTCAAAGTCATGTGCCTAATTTCAGAATTTGGATAGAATCCAGATCTCCTGACTTCTAATCCAGCGCTTTTTCACTATATTATGCTGTAGTCTATATAACTTATTTTGCATTTATCATATGCTGCCTTGTTTTATTTATCTTTTCTGTCTACATACTGTTTTCTGGTGGTCCAAGAAGTACTGGATGGTATCAACAGTACCTGGCACAGAGTAGTCATTCAATAAAACTGTTGATAAGCATGATGTCCCAGTCTAGCTCTGTTTTGGTATTTTGAGCCTGGCTTGCTCTGAAGTAATTAGCGTAATTGATGAGGATGCATCTGTGTGTATGTTTTAGGGCAGGTACTCAAAAAACCTTATGGCACAAGTACCTGGTTGGGATCTGCTTTCTTGTTTTTAGCTTTTCCCTACTACTTTCCGGTAGCCGCTAGATCTGAACTTATGTGAATAACCATAAATGGGTATAGAGTGACATACGAATGAAAGGAAAGCTGTTTCCGTAGTGAGAAAGAAATAGTTATTTCTCTAGGTCTCACTAGGGGGCAAAATGACATGAGAGTCTTCCATCCTAAACTCTGCAGGTGTTTCCCAATTCTTTATTTAATGACGCGGCTGGCAAGATGATGTTACAGGAAACTCATGGTATGTTCGGTTTTTTTCCTTAGTTTTTACTCAGATGAGGGGTGTGACGCTGTTTTTCAGCCGGAGAGCAGACCCCAAAGAATCCGCGCACTCTGTGACGAGAAAACAGGAAGCACGCTCAGGGAGCTTCGCCTATTTCTCTCATTTTACTTCAACACCACCTCCCCTCCCCCCCCCAAAAAATCTTAAGTATCTATTAAAGATTTAATAGTTTTAAGGGGTAAGGAATCGCTGATCTCGGGAGCTTTGGGACGACCCCTTGGGAAGGAACTTGTTTGCGGGGAATTTCAGGCAACGAGCACTGTCGCGCGTCAGGTGTAGAGTCCGGGCCCTGGAAGCGGGGCGGGGGTGACTGGTGGGGACCGCTGGAGAGATCTTCAACCCGGGCCAGAGAAAACGTTGCCACGGTTTCCGCGTAGCTTTTCTCCGTTCCGCCGAGGTTTATTTGGGCCGCGCGAGGGTTACGTATTTCCGCTTCCGGCTGCGAGCGGGCTTTGCCTCTGCAGAGTCCCGCGGGCGCGGGGTGAGGAGCCGGCGCAGGGGGTGGGCAAAGGAAGGCGGGTACAGCGGGGGGCACGTTTGTGCGCAGTTGTCCCCTTTCCTGAACACCGAGAAAGACTCGGGACCCAACTCTCACCCCAACGGTCCTGAAGCCCTGAGCGGTCACGAGGGTGGGGCCTGCGACGCCTCCCGGCCCTCTGGTGCCCGGCCACGTAAATCTCCGTGGTGGCACCCTGCTATCATTTCTTTGCTTCCTTATGGTAGGGCTTGTGGTGGCAAAAAGAACAAGGGAGTGTTGATAACGCTTCGCTTGTGATTTGTAGGCCATGAGAACTTGCACGTGCCCTGTCTTGCTTTTTCTCGAGCATGTTGCATATCCAGACACGGAATAAGCCATGCCGTAGAGTGTGCTTTCTGTTGTTTCTCTTTCTTACCTGGTCTCTATATTTTCTTCCCCCTTTCTGCAACATCCTTTAGGTCCTGCAGAGTGAAGACTTAATTCCAAGGTCATGGCAAAACATCTGAAGTTCATTGCCAGGACTGTGATGGTGCAGGAAGGGAACGTGGAAGGTGCCTACAGGACCCTAAACAGGTAACTGTTAAGGGACCAGAATCATGCCTAGACTTTTTCATTTGTATAGCCTTTGCATTTACCAAAGTGCCTGGCACATAGAAAGCGCACAGTAAATGTTTACTTAATGAATGTAAATGTTCCTTTTATCTTCTGCCAGTTCCTTACTTTAGTGTTTGTCAAACCTTTCTACTAAAGTATCCTTAACAGCAGAGAATGAAAGAACCACAGGCATACCTTGTACTGTGCTTCACTTTATTGCATTTTACAGGTGTTAGGATTTTTTGTGTTTGTTTTTTTAACAAACTGAAGGCAAGATCCTCCACCAGCATAAAGACTACAACTGGTTTTATTGTGATACCCACTTTATTGCGGAGGTCTGTAACTGAACCTGCAATATCTCAGATATGCCTGTATAGGGGTTCTGCCATCACAAACAAACATGGAATGTCTTTGAAGTCTCTATTTTTTTTTTAATAAAAAATGTTTACATATATGTATATATATGTGTATATATATATACATATATATATTGGGGTTTTTTTTACATCTTTATTGATTTCAGAGAGAGGAAGGGAGAGGGAGAGAGAGTGTTGAAACATCAATGATGAGAGAGTCGTCATTGATCGGCTGCCTCCTTCAGGCCCCTGACTGGGGATCAAGCCTGCAACCAGGGAATTGAACCTCGATCTCCTGGATCCTAGGTCGATGCTCAACTGCTGAGCCACGCCCAGCCAGGCTTAATATATATTTTTAAATTGACTTTTGGAGAGGGGGAGAGAGAGAGAAACATCAATTAGTTGCCTCCTGCATATGCCACGACCAGGGCTGGGTATTGAGCCTGCAACTGAGGTAGGTGCCTTTGACCTGAATCGAACCTGGGACCCTTAAGTCCGTGGGCTGACGGGCTAACCACTAAGCCAAACTGGCTAGGGTGTTTTTTTTTTTAATTTTTATTTATGGCTGTTACATCTGTTTCAGGGCTAGCACCATCACCCCCACTCAAGTTAAAATTGGTGCTCCAGGTAGATGCATCAAATTTATTCAGAGACTTTTGTCTCTGCATAGTACCCTTGGCACTCTGTCAGGTATCCTAGATAAGAAACATGGCATTACTTTTTCTTCAGTTCAGGGATTAAAACACCAAGGTGGGAATAGGTTTGGGGAAGACCAGTTTACATTGCTTAAAAAGAATAATCAGAATGAAGAGGAGTAGTTAGAAAGAAAAATAAATTAAGAGATTCACGTCTCGGAAACTCAGGCCCTGAGGTGTGGTAACCTCTTTTAGGCTTCCTTATGAGTTTGAAAAATTCAAACTTTGTCGTTGGGATTATCTAGGGAAGCAGTGCAAAAAGGGCATGTGGTTGGAAGGAGTCACCTTGGGGCAAGTATTGTGGCAGCGGTTTTTATTATGTAAGGGGAGAGTACTTATTTTGTCAGTTTAGAGTTTAGGAAGCTGCATTTCTGTTCCTTTTTATCGTGGAATATTAGATACATATCCTATAATTGTATTTTAGCCTCAGAAAATAAAGTGATATTTTAATCTATATTATTTTGCTCTTAGAATAATTTTCTAGGCAAGGACTTTTAAGCATGCAGATATGAGCGAGCTGGTGCTGGAGTGTCCCAGTCTTCCTGTTGTCAGACACCATGCTCTTCTTCTTTTTCTTTGCTTTTCCCTAGTGTCTGCTCTCTTGCCACTTTTTTTGTATATATCTATTACATCCCGGCTTCTCCTCCTCTCTCTCAGCTTTCTGATAGTTGGTAGTTTAAAAATAAGTTGCATGTTCTGTGGTCTAATTACAACAGTAGGTAGAGGGCAAATGAGAGGAGAGGGAGGTGGTTAAAACAGCATGTTTGGAGGGCAAAGGCAGTCTTACAAAGGAAACAGCCTATGTGTCTGTCTAGTAAGACGGCTGTAAAATGTTTGTTATATAACCAAGGGCCCTCATTGGTGCCCTGGGATGAGGAGAGAGAGAGTGGGGGTTGCTAGGAAGCCCTGCATGATTGGCTGGCCCCATTCGAGGAAAGGCAAGCACACTGGGTGTGTGCTGGGATGACCCCTTTTATTCCTGGTAGGTGAGTTTCTGGGCCCATTGAGTCCTGCGAACACGTTGGTCCCGACGTAGGCTAGCTACACTGACATGTGAGTCTGCCACCTCCAACCTCCCCCAGCTCCTTTTACATAATCTGTTGAATTTCACTGAAACTGGCAGCTGATTTCTCCTTCAGTGTTATGTTGCCAGGCACCTGAATTCAAGGCTGATCTGTTTACACTAAAGCTTCTGGTATTCTGGTCCTTGAACTAACTTGGGAAGCAGAAACATCATTAGTAACACCCTGTCTGTTTACTTCATGAGTCCTAAAAAGCTCTTCCTATGTCCTTTTTATTCAAAATGAGTTGAGTAGATGCCTCTATGATAGGAACTCAGGAGCATTTGAATATAATCTGTGCTTTTTTAGGATGACCAGAAAAGACAGAATAAGGGAGGGAATCCCCACCTGGAATCTTGGAATTTATTTGGTCTGTGTTCAGGAATTAGTTAGAATAATCTAGGGAAAACCATTAGCAACCCCCTAATTATGTTGGGGGGCACCGATCTTTCTATTCTTTCCCCTCCTCCATTCTAATACTCTTCATTACCTTTCTTCTTGTTTGCTTTTTTGCCTCACCACACAGGCATTTACTTGGTAAAATGATCACTTCTGTTTCAAACCCCTTTGAAACTCCAGTAGGATACCTGAGTATGTCTTAAACTCCCCCCTCCCTTTGCAGTTTTCTTTCATCCTACTTTTAAACTGCCTTTGTCATTCCAGTAGGATCCTCCTCTTAAGTGAAATCATATCCAGGGTCCCTGTTCTTTTTATAGTCTTATCTTCAAATCCAGTCAGTTTCCTTGTCCTTTTTATAGTATACATCCAATATTTTCTTTTAGGGACTTCTTCCTGTTTTTTTTCTCCAATATACTAGTGCCTAGTCCCAAAAATTGCCTTCATTAAATAGCAGTAAACAGCTAGACAGAAGTAAATGCTTAGGTGTTTGCATAATTACTTTCCCTCAGTGTGGCGTGGCTTCCATCTCTTTACTCCAATTATGGAGCCTAGGCCAGCTCTTTCCCCCCTCATTTTCTCCTTTGCTCATGGGCACTGCAGTAATTTGTTTTCTGAACCTCAGTGGTTTTTGCTTGAGAAGCAGAATACTATTGTGGAGCATAGTCCTAAAGACCTGAATTCTACTTCCAGCTCTGTTTTGTGATCTTGGGCAGATTGGCCTCTCCAAACTTCAGTTTCCTAATCTGTAAAGAGATGACATTACTTGCGTGATCAATTTCATAGGATTGTAATTAGGATCATGAATGTGAAAACGCTATCTAAAATCTAATGTGCCATCTTGGTAAAGGTAATATCATTGAGGCTTTCTGAGAACTATTTCCAAGAACTGTGCCAGTAAAGTCACTTAATCCCTTGATCTGTGGACATCTGTCAGTCACCTAGAGGATTCATTTCTTTCATATATTTACCAATAAAGACTATCCCTAACCTTAAGAAGCAACAACCCAGTAAGGGAGATTAAAAAACCAAGCTGGGCCGGTGTGGCTCAGCGGTTGAATATTGACTTATGATCCAGGAGATGGAGGTTGGATTCCCTGTCAGGGCACGTGCCTGGGTTTCGGGCTTGATCCCCAGCAGGGGGCGTGCAGGAGGCAGCTGATCAATGACTCATCATTGATGTTTCTATGTCTCTTCCTCTCCCTTCCTCTCTCTGAAATCAATAAAAATATATTTGAAAAAACAACACAAAAACCACAGTTAAATATATTGTCTGATCAATATTTTTAATTTTGTTGCTGTTGTTGTTAATCCTCACTTGAGGATATTTTTTCCATTGCTTTTCAGAGAGAGTAGAAGGGAGGGAGGCGGGACGGGGGCAGGGGGAGAGAAACATCGATGTGAGAGGTGAGAGGGACACATCGACTAGTTGCCTCTCACACACCCCGACCAGGGGCGGGGAGCAAACCCGCGATGGAGGTATGTGCCCTTGACTGGAAATCGAACCTGGTTAGAGCACAGGGCAATGCTCTAACCACTGTGCCTCACTGGCCAGGGCTGGCTGATGAATATTTTAAAAGAGGCATTGACAGTATGCTATGGATTTGGTTCTCCCTGGACCATCAGCAGCAACATCACCTGTTAGAAATGCATAGTCTTGCCCTAGCCAGTTTTGCTCAGTGGTTAGAGCGCCGGCCTGCCCACTGAAGGGTCATGGTCAAGGGCACATATCTCCGTTGTGGGTTCCTTCCCTGGCCCAGGTCAGGGCACATGGGAGGAAACCAGTCGATGTGTCTCTCTCACATCAGTGTTTCTCTCTTTAGCGCTCCCTTCCACTCTCTGTGAAAAGCAACAGAAAAAATATCCTCGGGTGAGAATTAAAAAAAGAAATGTACATTTTTGGGCTCCACCCTAGACCTATGGAATCAGAAACTGGAGGTGGTACAGCAATGGTGTTTTAACAAGTTTTCCTTTGCCACATGCTAAAGATTGAGAACCACTATGCTTTGGAACAGAGGGAATCAGTGATTAATTTCAACTGGACCAGTTTACAGATGTAACTACTGATTTGGGCCTTTGACGTATAAGTAGGACTTCATAAAATAGAAAAAGAAAGGAATGATATTCCAAGTAAAGAAAATGTTTGAGCAAAGGTGAAAAATAGATATATAGTATGTTTGGAAAACTGCATCTAGTTCAGGGTAACTAGGGCGTAGGTTTCATAGGCAAGTTATTAAAGATAAAGCTAGAGAAATAGGGTAAAGCTCAATTGCTTTAGGGCTTTAAGCTTATACTAGTGGTTCTGAGATTTTTCTGCATGTTGGAATCACCATGTTCCTCTCCTCTTGTGATTTAATTCTTCTGAAGAGTAGCCCTAGGGGATGGAATTTTTAAAATATCCCCAGGTGGTGCCCTAGCTGGTTTTGCTTAGTGGTTAGAGCATCAGCCTGTGGACTGAAGGGTCCCAGGTTCAATTCCAGCCAAGGGCACGTACCTCTGTTGCAGGCTTAATCCCTGGCCCTGTTCGGGAGGCAACCAATTGATGTGTCTCTTTCACATCGATGTTTCTCTCTGTCTCTCTCCCCCTTCCATTTTTTCTCCCTCTTCCACTCTCTCTGAAAAAGCAGTGCAAAAAATATCTTCTGGTGAGAATTAAAAAAAAAAATCCCCCAGGTGGCCCTGGCTGGTATGGCTTAGTTGATTGAGCACTGTCCTGTGCACCAAAAGGTCAATGGTTGATTCCCATTCAGGGTTGCGGGTTCTGTCCCTCGTCGGGCTGCATACAGGAGGCAACCAATCAATATCTCTCTCTCTTCCCCCCTCTAAAATCAATAAAAGCATATTTTAAAAAAATAAAAGAAAATATTCCCAAGTGATTATAGTGTGCAGACAGGACTGGGAACCATTGGCTTAGACTATTTTGTATATTGGGGAAAAAATTTTAAATTTATCGATTGAGAGAGAAATATCAGTTTGTTGCCTCCTGCACAGGGCCAGGATCAAACCTGCAACCCAGGGACGTGCCCTTGACTGGGAATCAAACCCCTGACCTTTTGGTGCTCAAGCTAACGCTCTAACCATTGAACACACTGGCCAGGGCTTTGGTTGATTCTTGTATGTGCCCTGACCAGGGATCAAACCCACAACCTTGGCGTATCAGGGTGATGATGCCCTTAACCAACTGAGCTACCCAACCAGGGCCTTAGGAAAGATTTTTAGTATCAGAGCGACATGGTCCAATTTATCTTTTAGGACAATAATTGGTGTAGGGAAGGAGAATGAAAATAGGGCAGCCTACTTACCTATCACAATTCAAATAAGTTTAGGAAGCCTTCATAACCAACTTCTCATCCTCAGGTCCAGATTAAATGCCTCTCCTGTGTGTTTTTATAGCAGTGTTTCCCTTATCTTTGTGCCTATCACATTCTTGTGATTCTTGTATAATTGTCTTCTCTACTAGACCCTGGGCAGGGAAACATGTCTAACTTTTTCTGTCTTTAGCATTTAACACAGTGTCTGGTACAGAGTTGGGATTCTGTAAACACATTGATTAAATGACCAGTTAGACGATTATTTCAGTACTCCAGATACAAGATGTTAAAGACCATATTTAGAGCTGTGACCATAGAAAAGGAGAGAAGGAAAATATCTAAGAACTATTTCAGGATATAAAATTTATAGGATATGGTAACTGTGGATGTAGGAAGTAAAGGGAAAAACGTTGTCCAGGAATGTGCTGAGGTTTTTTAGCTTGAGTAACTGGTGATACCATTAAGAGTATAGAGGAGGAGGAATAAATTTTAGGAGGAGACAGTTGATTTGCTTTTTGTATGTTTTGAGGCAATTGGAATTATCATTCTAGCTCTCAGGTAAGATTGGGGTTAAAGATAAAGATTCAGGAGTCAACAATGTCTTGGATCAGTTCTCAGTTGCGGCTCTACAATAGAATTATTTGGGGGTCTTTTAAAACATTTCCAGTGCATGACACCACTCTAGACCAATTAAGTCAGAATCTCTGAGGAATGGGGCCTAGGCATCAGTGCCTTTTAAAAACCATCTTTGGGGTGGTTCCATTGTGCATCATGATTGAGGTTCACTGGTAGAGGTTAAGGAAATTGCGTATAACCAGAAACAAAATGGTTTATAGTTAGAATCTGGAGGGATACCAATATTTAAGGGTAAATTGAGGAAGAAAGTCAGCAAAGGAGACCCTTTGTGGTCCAAGAAACTGAGTCTTTTGGTCTTTGGTGACCTGCTTCTCTATTGTAAGACTAGTGTTGAGTCCACACGACTTCTGGGCATGACAATGTTTCCAACAGAACCCAAATTATCTGCTTCTCCTGCTTCTGCGATTTTTGCAGCCATTCCCTTGACTCCCATATCCCTGCAACTAAAACCTAGACAAACTGATTTATACAGATATGATCCTTTAGTAACCTACAAATCGTTCTCGATATTAAACAGCAAGAGGCTGGGAGAGGAACCCATAGGTACAGTGGTTTCCATGTCTATTCACATTTGTAATTTACCCAAAGCTCACATCTTTTCAAGTTCATGTTATCTTGGGCTTTGTAATATAACATAGCAGCAATAAGTAGGGTTTCCCACTGGGCAGAAGTAGCTAGTGGTTTCTCTCATTCTTATTAATGTCTCCCTGTGTTCTCCTTCCAATTATAATAGCCATGTCTCACCTCTTTACCTCCAATTGTGTTTATTACTTCTTATGTAAGAAAGGGCAGGGAAAGCAGGAATGGGACCATGTAAACAATACCAGGAATGAAAGGCAGCAGCAGCAGGTGCCTCCAGATTTCCTCAGGATCAACTGATCGTAGGTTAAGAGGGAGAGACAAATTACAGATTGGAGCCAGAGCTCTCAGGATCGTAGGGATTAGACAGATCATAGAATAACGCC